CCCGATTGTGAAGCACCCGACCTCGGATTTTTTGGCTTCTTTCTCTAGAGAATCATCTATCTCCGTAAGTAAGCTCGACACTTTTATTTACTTGATGAATGGATGGAAATTTATTTATTTTCCTATACGTACAGAATGATTATATGCGGTTCTGGTGGTGTAGTCGTGTAGAGATTCAACTCTTAAGTTTGTTATCGGTTATGAATTGAAATTTGGGTATTATTGAGTAGAAGTTGATGAAATTTGGGTATTATTGAAATGAAATTGCTGAAATTTGGGAGTTGTTGAATTGAAATGGTTGAAATTTGGGTGTCCGTTGAATTGAAATGGTTGAAATTTGGGCGTATGTTGAATTGAAATTGTTAAAAAAAACGATATCAAAATATGAAAACTCGAAAGGAACAAATGTAATTTATAAACTATGTTATTTTTAATATTGTCATATTATTGTTTTATATTTTTATTATCATTACATTCATGACAAAAATTTGATGTTCAACATCGATAAATTGTGCCCCTCCTGACCAAAAATCCTGGCTCCGCACTCGTATTCTTTGAATATTTCACAGAAATTTCAATAGTCACGCTTAATTTTGACAACATTTTTCCATTAAATTTTTTTTTCTTTTCTCTTCTAAAATTAAAAATGAAGCATACGTTTATCTTTAAGATTATGTTAGGTGTCAGGGATAGTACTTTGCCAACTTTATGCATTGAGAAATTAGCATTTTGGTGGAGTTATATGTAAAAGGGACGAATTATGCAAAACAAACAAAATGTTGAGGCTTAAAAAGGGTTGCTTATAAAGGTTCGGAACAAATTGCTAGAGTTGCTAAAAACTAAGGACAAATTATGACAAAGTTTCACACAAAGGTTTGGCACAAATTATTTGCTTGTAAAGGATCATAAAGTCTAGAGGTAGTGTTGAAATCATGAGATAATTGACCACGTTTAGAATAATTGTTAATTTTCTTTATTAGAATATTTAAAATCCTTTGAATATTGTAATATTTAGATATGGTAGGAATATTTTATTTTCCTTTTATGTTCTTATAAGTAAGGACGTGTATTATTCATAATGTATTAGAAGAAAATGAAGTTTTTCTCTACATGGTATCAGAGCCTAGGTGTGTTCCTAACCTAGAAAAGTTATGACAGAAACCACCGCCAATAGTAGAGGCTTCACAACATGTGACTCTTTTAATGACAAATCTGAAATTATGTCTGCCATAGGTTCGGGAGAAAATTCTTCATTCCAATTAATGATTGAAAAACTAAATTGGAAGAATTATCGAGAATGGGTACAGTCAATCAAGCTAATTATTGATGGAAAATGGAAATTAGATTACCTCAATAGAGAAATTGCAAAGTCGGCCTCAACCAACCCCATCCTTCAGAGGTCAGAGAATTTCATGGTGACTGTCTGGCTAATAAACTCCATGAAACCCACAATTGGAAAAACCTACTTGTTCCTATCGTCGACGAAAGATGTGTGGGATGCTGTCAAGGAGACTTATTTAGACTTTGAGAATTCAGCCCAAATTTTCGAACTCAAGACAAAACTTTGGCAAATTAAGCAGGGCGATGAGAGGTCACTGAATACTACCTGGAGATGACAACTTTGTGGTAAGAACACGATTTGAGTACTGAAGAACAGTGAGATTGCGCACGTGATAGTGCTCGGTTTAAGAAAAGATTGGAAAATGAGAGGATGTTTGAGTTTTTGGCATGGCTGAACCTTGACCTAGATGATGTTAGGGGATAGATTCTTGGCTGGAAACCCTTACCGTCGATGAGGAAAGTGTTTGCAGAAGTCCAACGGAGGAAAACAGGAGAACTATCATGCTAGAGACGAACGACGATGCATTTGGGTCGACTGGATCTGGGGCTGAGTTTTCCGCCTTATTATCACATGGGCTTGAGCCATTAAATCATGGGCAAAGTGTTTTGGGCTTGATTATTTAAAATGTGGGCCACAAAAATCTGATTTTGGATCAAAAAAATTCGTTGTTTGGCCTGAAACTATGGGCTTTTGTACAAAAGGAGTGCCAAATGGACAGGACCCAAGACATCAAAAAGGACGACCTTGGTGTGAGCATCGCCGTAAGCTGGGACATAAAGAAGACATGTGTTGGGATTTGCAATGAAAACCAACCAATTAGAATTCAAGACAAAATAAAAACCATGGATATCCAGCATCGAGTGACCATGGACGATCCAAGGAGACATGTTGTGCTTTTAACTCTGAGCAAATGGAACAACTGTACAAGATGTTTTCGAGCCTCCAATCATCGAGTCAAACCAATAATCCTTCCGGTTCATTAGCTCACAAAGGTAATTTTTTAAGAGCCTTAAACTCTACCACTCAATCTAAAACTCCATGGATTATTGACTACGGAGCCTCGGACCATATGACGGACTCCTACCACGTATTTTCATCTTACTCCACATGTCCGGGTAATCTCAAAGTTAAAATTACAGACGGTTCCCTATCCACGGTTGTAGGAAAGGGGAGTATTCAAATTTCTGATACTATAACTTTGGAATCTATGCTTCATGTTCAAAACTTATCATGCTTTACTGACTGTAAGTCAGCTCACAAAAAATTCCAATTGCTCTACTAAATTTTATCCATCTCATTGTGTTTTTCAAGACCTATCATCGGGGAAGACGATTGGTAGTGCTAAGGAAAGTAAAGGACTTTATTACTTTGACGAGGCCACTGTGAGTATCCAAAATCAAATTAAAGTTTGTGATTTTGCGTCCATCCTAGACAATAGTGAAATTATGTTATGGCATTTTAGAATGGGACATTCCAATTTTCATTATTTGAAACGTGTACTCCCTTCCATTTTCTCGAATAATATGTCATTTAATTTTCAATGTGATATCTGTGAGCTTTCAAAATATCAACGTGCATCATTTCCAAAATCCATGTACAAACCATCACAGCCATTCTCCATGATTCATAGTGATGTGTGGGGCCTCTCGAGAGTTCCCAATCGGACTCACTCCAAATGGTTTGCCACATTCATTGACGATCACTCTCGAATTTGTTGGGTTTACCTACTTAAAAATAAATCCGAGGTTTGAGATGTGTTCATCAACTTCCATTCTATGCTTCAAACGCAGTTTCAAACATAGATTCAAATCCTTCACACTGACAATGGCACGAAATACCTTAATAACATCTTCGGCAACTTTATCCAAACACATGGCATAGTTCATCAAAGCTTCTGTGTCGACACTCTCCAACAAAATGAGGTCGTTGAACGCAAAAATAGACATATACTAGAGGTCGCTCGTGCCTTGATGTTCACTACAAACATGCCTCAAATGTTCTGGGGGACGCTATCCTTACATCTATTTACCTCATCAACCGAATACCTAGTCATGCCCTAAACTTCGAAACACCACTCCAAAAATTCTATAAATATTTCCCAACTTCTTGTCTCAGCTCCTATCTACCCCTGCTAGTCTTTGGGTGTACCGCTTTCGTTCACGTCCACTCTCATCAAAGAAATAAACTCGATCCTCGGGCGATCAAATGTGTCCTACTTGGATATTCTCCTACATAAAAAGGGTACAAGTGCTAGATCCCTTCACTAAGAGAATGTATGTTAGCCTTGATGTCACTTTCTTCGAAAATACTCCGTACTTCGGCAAAACCTCTCTTCAGTGGGAGACAATACATGAAGATCGGTTCCTTAACCTCAATCCTTTTACTCCTGCACCTACCCTACCTATTTCACTATTTGATTCTAATATGCCATTGACAGGAACCGACACTTAAATCCAGGGAGAGAGTAGAAATACAAACTAATAAAGAGATATTGGTTTATTCACGAAAGTCAAGATCAAAGTGCATAGAGAATCTCACAACTGAAGCACCAAGAGAGTCAAAACCGATGATAGCTCCAGATACTGATACTGATTTGCTTGTTGCTATCAAAAAACAACAATGTTCATGTACTCGACATCCCATTTCAAAATTCATGTTCTAGCTGCTCTCTCTACGAGATTCCTTACTTTTACAGCTCACTTTGATAGTACAGTTGTTCCAAGAAATATTGAGGAGGCATTGGGAATTCTAGAATGAGAGAGGCAGTATTAGAAGAAATAAGTGCATTGGAAAAAAAATGAAACTTGGGAAGTAATTGAATTACCGAAGGGAAAGAAACCTGTAGGATGTAAATGGGTCTTCATTGTAAAATACACAACTAATGGGACAATAGAACGATATAAAGCCCGATTGGTGGCAAAATGATACACACAAAAGTACGACATTGATTACACAGAGACATTTGTACTAGTAGCAAAGTTAAATACCATTTGAGTTCTTTTATCAATAGTCGCAAATTTAGACTGGCCACTTCAGCAACTGGACATTAAAAATGTATTCTTGAATGTGGAATTGAAGGAAGAAGTCTTCATGATGCTACCACTAGGTTTTTGCAAAAAGGAGGAAAAAGGCCGAGTATGAAAACTGAAAAAATCATTTTATGAACTCAAGCAGTCACCAAGAACATGGTTTGATAGACTTGCAAGAGTGTTGAAGAGCTAAGGATACCTCCAAGGACAGCCAGATCATACTATGTAAACGGTACTAAAACGCTTCTAATCGTATATGTTGATGATATTGCTTTGACATGAGATAATATAGCAGAGATGGAAAGATTAAAAAGGAGTCTTGCTATTGAATTTGAAGTAAAAGATCTAGGATCAATGCGGTATTTTTTGAGAATGGAAGTTGCTAGATCAAAACGAGGCATCAGTGTATCACAATGGAAATATGTTCTTGATCTTCTAACCGAAACTGACATGCTAGGATGTAAACCAAGCAGTACACCTATGGATATGGGAACAAAAACTGATGATGGAGAAAATCCAGTAGAAATAGACAGATATCAAAGATTAGTTAGAAAACTAATCTACTTGTCACATACCAGACCTAACATCGCATTTGCAGTTAATTTGGTAAGCTAACACATGCACGCTCTTAAGGAAAGCTACCTAGAAGTTGTCTATAAAATACTTAGGTACCTCAAGGGCTCCTTAGGGAAGGGGTTATTCTTCAAAAAAAATGAAAGAAAAGAAGTGGAAATCTTTACAGATATAGATTGGGTATGATCAATAGATGATAGAAGGTCCACTACTGGTTATTGTACATTTGTGTGGGGAAACTTGGTAACTTGGAGAAGCAAGAAACAAAATGTAGTAGCCAAAAGTAGTGCTGAAGCTAAATTCAGAGTTGTTGCACAGGGAATATGTGAAGAGCTATGGTTAAAGAAACTTCTAGAAGAACTAAATGTCACATTAAAGTCACCAATCAAACTTTATTGTGATAATAAAGCAGCTATCAATATTTCCCTTAATCAGTTCAGCATGATCGAACTAAACATGTGGAGGTGAACATGCATTTTATCAAAGAAAATGATGAGAAATGAATTAGTTGCATGACTTATGTCCCTACGCAAGAACAAACTGCAGATATCTTCACCAAGAAACTACCTAAACAGAAATTCAATAATTTCATCTTCAAGTTGGATATGATAAATATTTACAATCCAACTTGAGGGGAGTGCTGAAATCATGAGATAATTGACCAAGTTTAGAATAATTGCTAATTTCCTTTATTAGATTATTTAGAATATTTTTTAATTATTGTAATCTTTAGATATGGTAGGAATATTTTATTTTCCTTTTATGTTCATACCTCATGTACTATAAGTAAGGACGTGTATTATTCATAATGTATTAGAAGAAAATAAAGTTTTTCTCTTCATGTAGTATTCGAGACATTAATTTACAGGTTCAATTAAATACAAAAAAATATGGCCAATTTAATATGACATATGATATGTTGACACATATGTTGGTGTTCAACACCACTTATCCTAGATAATATTTTTCATTTTTTTATACACTCCAACAATGATCTTTATTTTATTTTTTCCAATGGACATTTATTAATTTCTCACCATCTCTTATTTAATATAATTTTTTATATATTAATGATCAATCAATCAAATGTAATTTGAATAATTTATATTGTAGCAATCATTGTCATAAGAATAAATGGTGAGTTTAGCTCTTTAAATTTGGAGAGTCAACCCCACTCTTTATTAAAAAAATAAATTACGAGTCTTTTGCAACTTATTTTTATGTATTGACTCTTTAAAATAAAGAGTATTTTTGTGTTTAAAGAGTAACTTAAAATTAATGCTCAGCTCCCATCATGAGAGGAATAAATAATATCCAGCAATCCATTATTTTGAGGGGTTTGATGAATTTTTTATAAAAGTTTTAACAGATTTTGATAAGATTGGTAAAATATGTGGTTGAAAATGTGATAAAAGTTATGAATTTTATGAAATGTGCATGTGATTAAAATTGAAGTTTGACTAGTTGAGAAGTTGACAAAATTTTAGCAAATTTTTATCAAACTGGCGTTTATTTAGTAAAAATTAAGGCGGGGCTCTTGAACTTTTCTATTAATATGATTTTGAGTCTCTAACTTTTAAAAGTGAATTTCTGAATCTTTAATTTATTTATAAGTAAATCTATGTCCTCACTTGATGGAAACCTTCAACTCCTATCAGAAAATTAATTAAAATTATTATTTCTTACAGTTTTCTCTTACTTTGTTCAGAGAGAAAAATACGGTTGTAAATAATAATGGTAATTATCCATGGCGTCACAAATGTAAATTTCCTTAATTTGGTGGTCGTCGAATATATTCATATAGAACACTTTTCATAAAACTTTATCGACTTTGAAAAAACTTCAACTTTTTGATGATAACTTTCCATTGATAATTATCTTGACTAGGAATGATGAAATTACCAGTCCGAGCAACTTCGTAACTTGTGAACACAACACGTAGTTTTAGCGGAACTCAATATTCAACCAACCAAGAATCGAGAACCGAACCGAACCATTTGGTTCTCGATTCGAATACCCATTCGGGTATTTCATTTTAAAAAACTCGTTCGGTTCGGTTCGGTTCCGGTTCGATTCGGTTCGGTTCGGTTCGGTTCCGGTTCGATTCGGTTCGGTTCGGTTCGAATATTTTGCCCAACCCTATTTGGCACAAATTATTTGCTTGTAAAGGATCATAAAGTCTAGAGGTAGTGTTGAAATCATGAGATAATTGACCACGTTTAGAATAATTGTTAATTTTCTTTATTAGAATATTTAAAATCCTTTGAATATTGTAATCTTTAGATATGGTAGGAATATTTTATTTTCCTTTTATGTTCTTATAAGTAAGGACGTGTATTATTCATAATGTATTAGAAGAAAATGAATTTTTTCTCTACATGGTATCAGAGTCTAGGTGTGTTTCTAACCTAGGAAAGTTATGACAGAAGCCACCGCCAATAATAGAGGCTTCACAACATCTGACTCTTTTAACGACGAATCTGAAATTATGTCTGCCATAGGTTCGGGAGAAAATTCTTCATTCCAATTAATGATTGAAAAACTAAATTGGAAGAATTATCGAGAATGGGTACAATCAGTCAAGCTAATTATTGATGGAAAAGGGAAATTAGATTACCTCAATAGAGAAATTACAAAGCCGGCCTCAACCAACCATGTCCTTCTTAAAAAATGGAGGTCGGAGAATTTCATGGTGACTGTCTGGCTAATAAACTCCATGAAACCCACAATTGGAAAAACCTACTTGTTCCTATCGTCGACGAAAGATGTGTGGGATGCTGTCAAGGAGACTTATTTAGACTCCGAGAATTCAGCCCAAATTTTCGAACTCAAGACAAAAGTTTGGCAAATTAAGCAGGGCGATGAGAGGTCACTGAATACTACCTGGAGATGATAGCTTTGTGGTAAGAACGCGATTTGAGTACTGAAGAACAGTGAGATTGCGCACGTGACAGTGCTCGGTTTAAGAAAAGATTGGAAAATGAGAGGATGTTTGCAGTTAGTTTGGTAAGCCAACACATGCACGCTCTTAAGGAAAGCCACCTAGAAGCTGTCTATAAAATACTTAGGGTACCTTAAGGGCTCCTTAGGGAAGGGGTTATTCTTCAAAAAGAGTGAAAGAAAAGAAGTGGAAATCTTTACAGATATAGATTGGGCATGATCAATAGATGATAGAGGTCCACTACTGGTTATTGTACCTTTGTGTGGGGAAATTTGGTAACTTGGAGAAGCAAGAAACAAAATGTAGTAACCAGAAGTACTGCTGAAGCTGAATTCAGAGTTGTTGCACAGGGAATATGTGAAGAGCTATGGTTAAAGAAACTTCTAGAAGAATTAAATGTCACATTAAAGCCACCAATCAAACTTTATTGTGATAATAAAGCAGCTATCAACATTTCCCTTAATTCAGTTCAGCATGATTGAACTAAACATGTGGAGGTGGACATGCATTTTATCAAAGAAAATGTTGAGAAATGAATTAGTTGCATGACTTATGTCCCTACGCAAGAACAAACTGCAGATATCTTCACCAAGAGATTACCTAAACAGAAATTCAATGATTTCATCTTCAAGTTGGATATGATAAATATTTACGATCCAACTTGAGGGGAGTGCTGAAATCATGAGATAATTGACCAAGTTTAGAATAATTGCTAATTTCCTTTATTAGATTATTTAGAATATTCTTTGATTATTGTGATCTTTAGATATTGTAGGAATATTTTATTTTCCTTTTATGTTCATACCTCATGTACTATAAGTAAGGACGTGTATTATTCATAATGTATTAGAAGAAAATAAAGTTTTTCTCTTCATGTGTTATTCGTGACATTAATTTACAGGTTCAATTAAATACAAAAAAATATGGCCAATTTAATATGACATATGATATGTTGACACATATGTTGGTGTTCAACACCACTTATCCTAGATAATATTTTTCAATTTTTTATACACTCCAACAATGATCTTTATTTTGTTTTTTCCAATGGACATTTATTAATTTCTCACCATCTCTTATTTAATATAATTTTTTATATGTTAATGATCAATCAATTCAAATGTAATTTGAATAATTTATATTGTATAGTATTAAAATTTGTAACTTAATAAAGGCAATCAATGTCATAAGAATAAATGGTGAGTTTAGCTCTTCAAATTTGGAGAGTTAACCTCACTCTTTATTAAAAAATAAATTACGAGTCTTTTTGAACTTATTTTTATGTATTGACTCTTTAAAATAAAGAGTATTTTTGTGTTTAAAGGGTAACTTAAAATTAATGCTCAGCTCCCATCATGAGAGGAATGAATAATGTCCAGCAATCCATTAATTTGAGGGGTTTGATGAAATTTTTTATAAAAGTTTTAACAGATTTTGATAAGGTTGATAAAATATGTGGTTGAAAATGTGATAAAAGTTATGAATTTTATGAAATGTGTGATTAAAATTGAAGTTTGACCAGTTGAGGAGTTGACAAAATTTTAGCAAATTTTTATCACACTGGCGTTTATTTTGTAAAAATTAAGGCCGGGCTCTTGAACTTTTCTATTAATATGATTTTGAGTCTCTAACTTTTAAAAGTGAATTTCTGAATCTTCAATTTATTTATAAGTAAATCTATCTCCTCACTTGATGGAAACCTTCAACTCCTATCAGAAAATTAATTAAAATTATTATTTCTTACAGTTTTCTTTTACTTTGTTCAGAGAGAAAAATACGGTTGTAAATAATAATGGTAATTATCCATGGCGTCACAAATGTAAATTTCCTTAATTTTGGTGGTCATCGAATATATTCATATAGAACACTTTTCATAAAACTTTATCGACTTCGAAAAAACTTCAACTTTTCGATGATAACTTTCCATTGATAATTAAGAACTCAATATTCAACCAACCTATGATTCTTTTATTTAATCAACTTACTATCAATAAATTATGTGTTACGTTCTCATTGATGGAGAATGTACGTGCCCCACCCTCCCATGTTGTGTCTTATCTTGCCTTGCCTTGCCTCCGCCAGATTAGTAAACAAGACACGGATGGGAAACTTGCCCTCCTCCCGAATTCCCAGAACGCACCCTTATTATATTATTTTTTATGGGTTTTTTTTTTTTAAATTTATATCACATTTGAGAAAAAAAAAAAAAATTAAACCGAATAGTAAATTGAGATTTTTAAAACCCTTGCCTTGAATCCCAAAAATCCCTGACGGAATGGGGTACTGACTAAAATATGGATCCACCATGGGAAAATGTATCATTGATATCGCATTTTTCTACATTAATAAATTTTTAAAAAATGCTAGTTCAATTGTAGTCACGGATTCGTCAAACTTTAAATTACTCGAGCCTTAACATGATATTTTTCCTCGCAATATTATTAAATTTTAATCAATTGAGAGTGTGTACTTGAGATGTACTAAAAAATAGGCGGAGGGTCGAGAGGTGTCTAAGACATGGAGCGACATGTTGAAGGTCTGACTAAAATGACGAATTGGTGATATTCGCTCAAGTGCCTAAAATTTACATCTCTAAGTAATGTGCCGTCTCGTTTGAGCAAAGTATCTCAGACTCACAAACCTCACGGCATACTAATGAGTAATGATCCTTAATTCTCGACATATTATGCTCAGAATGTTACAAAATTTTGTTCCCTATGCCCAACAAACTGAAGACACACCAAAAGCACCTCATAACTTCCTTGCTGTTCCAACACGAAACTCTACTATAAATACACCCTCAAACTTAGTTTTGTTCAACTCATCTCTTAATCTAAGAAAATATAAAAGCAACGCAAAGCCACAATGAAACAAAATATGTTGACAACGTCGACCCTTTTCTCAATTCTCTTTTTGATAAGCATCACATCCCGTGTCGGCTCTGCTACCATACCTTCCGAGCCCTTGACGGAGAAAGAAAAACACAAGATCGTCGCCAGTGATGCAATAACTATATGCCTTCACGAAGTGAATGATATAAGCAAATACATCAACGCGATTCCTAAGCTTAAAAGCATCCAACTTACACAGAATCAGAAACTTCTTCCGTGCGTCCAGGGCCTGAATTTCGACTTATCCGAGGTTCAATCGGCACTCTACAGTTTGAAGCATTTGAAAGAGCCGTACATGCTATCATATGAGCATTCCTTGAAGCATATGACCTCTCACGCTATCAGCTTGTGGAAGACGTGCAGTTCTTCGCTTAAAAACGAGGATAAGGTTGTCGTTTCGTTGCTGACTAGAAAACTTGATGATCTTTCTTACCTTATTAACAATGTTGTTTATCATATTTCTGAATTCCTAGGAGACTCAGAAACTCCAGGAAGCCATTGAGAATTCTCAGTCTGCATGTTGGATTTTAAAATTTCATGTTTGAAGTCGAGGTTTTACATGGAGTGCATGTAAAAGTGGGATGCGAATAATGTATTAAGACACAGAGATACACAATAAAATTGTAGCTCATGCAAACCTTGAAAGTATTGTCTAGTCAATGTGTCTCTATGATTAATAATAGAATGTTTCTTTTGTAGAATTTCATGTTTGAGAATGCACATTCCTCGTATTGATGAGTTTTTAAAGCTAATAGCTACATAAATCGTTTGTTGGTTACCTTAATTATCTTATTCTTACTATAGGGCTCGTGTGACAAAGTTTTTGATAAAAAAAAAATTAGCAGATTTTGATAAAAAGTGTGAAACGTGTATTTAAAAGTTGTATGTACATGATATATATATAAAATTTGGCAGATTTATGTCCTGACTATCTAAGACCTTCTGACCTTGTTTGGTTAAATTAAAATCGATTTTTTTAGTAAATTTTGACAAAAGATGATGAAATGTGTGATTAAAAAATTGATAAAAATTGTAGATCTCATAAAACGTGTGATTGAAATGAATTTAAAGAAAAATAAATTTAAAAAATGAGGACCAAATAAGGCTAAAATCCCCTAACCAAAGGAATGGAATCATGTCTAGAAAAGACTAGTAAAGTCAATTGAATCTATTTATAGCTATTATTATCAAAGTCCCGTTCTCCTGCCCGCGACGGGCAAGCTTATAATGCCCACTCGGAGAGAACCCAACGTGGGGTTCTCACATTTGGAGAGAATCCCACGTAGGGTTCTCCTGCCACATCAGCAGGTGGGCAGGATAAGCCTGCCCGCCGCGGGCAGGAGAACATTTTCGTTATTATCAATTTCTCAAGTTAAATTTGAAATATTGGGCCAGAAGGGTAAAATCTTCAAGTCCAATTACATTTTGAGGCCCATAATCAACAGGCTGAGGCCTATGTAGATACAAACGTTTTTTTTCTTACCTAAGCCTCGTTTGTTTCTCATTAAAATCAGATTTTAATCAAAATCAAAGTCAAACAATCAATATTAACCATATCTTTTATGGGTCCCACAACTTTTTAATCACACATTTCAAAAACTTCTCTCACAAATTACTAAAAATCTAATTTTAATCCCCATCAAACACCCACCTAATTTCATAAATTTTGGGGCCAATGTGCATCATTATGTCTATATTTGGAGTGCTATTTTTTAAGAACAAGGGGAAAATAGAGAACGAAAAATAGTACATATCGCGATAAATTAATAATTGTCATTATTATATACAAGACCTCTAACTTATATGAGTAGTGTTACGTAACACGTAAAAACATAAGAAAAAATAGTCGCTTAGCATAAATTTCTAAGGGTAATTTGCGTAATACCTCGTAACATTTACCTATTTTGCATAGTATCCACCTATCCTTTTATTTTGATGCAAAATTCCCCTAAATCAGTCAAAAAGTAATTTTCCATGTTTATTTGGAGGGGAAGTTCGACCCATTTTTTTTAATAGTTTTGACAGATTGGTCGAGTCTTCATGCCATGCCTCTACCTTTTAGTAAGGAAATTTCATTTTCTTTATTTTGAAGATTATTACGAAGAAGAGCACAACTTAAAAAAAGTATGTGTGTGTGTATGCTACCTCGGGTCCCCAATAAAGGATTGTTTTCTTGCTCTAGACTCTTAGTCTTTAAGAAAACAAGTTCGATTATATATATATATATATTCATCTTTCAATCAATATCTAGTTGTAGAAGGCAATTGGTCTATCTTTTCGGCTAAGCACCACTCCCAACCAATATTTTAAAAAAAATTAAAATTTCAAAAACTTAAAAACCTGTATGTAATTTTTATTTTGCATTTTCTTTTAATTCTAAAAAATAAATTTCCAAATATAGTAGGTGTACTCCCCCTCCCCGTCTCTATGTGGTTCCACCGCTGGTCACCAATGAGTTCCACCAATACTTTCAAGGGAAATTGCTTCGTTTCCATCTATTTTTGAATTTTTAACTTCATTTCCATCCAACTTTACACGATTACTAGGTCCGTTGGGACTTGTCATGCAACTGTTTTAATTTTTTCGTTCTCTACGTAATAATTCTAACTCCGTAACTAATATTTACCGAACGTCACCTATACTTTCTGTTGGAAATAAATCCAACATCGCATGTGGACAATATCTTGAGCCAGCTTATAAATAATGTGGCAAACCTCTCTTGCTGGACCGGTTTTATGAGATGAGTTAGGCCCATAAATTTCTGCATGGTATCAGAGCCTACCACATGATTGATGTGGGCCCACACAACTTACCTCGTGACAAGGATCAGAAAAAATTATTGGTCTGCACGTGAGGGAGGGTGTTGGAAATAAATTCCACATCGCCTGTGGACAATATCTTGGACCAGCTTATAAACAATGTGGCAAACCTCTCATGCTGAACCGTTTTGTGAGATGAGTTAGACCCATAAATTTCTACACTTTCTTCCTCGTGTTTCCATCTAAGTTTCCATGAATCCATCGTCATCTAATATCCTAACCAACCGGGCCCTAACAATTATTTTGAGTAGAAAGAAATGAAAAAAAAAATGTGGGCTCACACTATTTACCCCGTGACAAGGACCAGAAAAAAATTACTGGCCTGCACATGAGGGAGGGTGTTGGAAATAAATCCCACATCGCCCCTGGACAATATCTTGGACCAGCTTATAAACAATGTGGCAAACCTCTCTTGATGAATCGTTTTGTGAGATGAGTTAGACCCATAAATTTCTACACTTTCTTCCTCGTGTTTCCATCTAAGTTTCCATGAATCCATCGTCATCTAATATCCTAACCGACCGGGCCCTAACAATTATTTTGAGTAGAAAGAAATGAAAAAAAAACATAAAAAAAAAAAACAAAGGATTCTCAAGTCTATTCAAAGTCCACGCAATAATATTCTTCCTGCCCATTTGTTTCACGCAAACTCTTTGCTTACATCCACTACTTACGTGTGTGGATATATAAAATATTTTCAATAGTGAACTTTCAATACAATTTCAAGGTGTTTATTGAATTCAATGAGGCCAATAGTCTTGTCCATTACTCAATCTTTTTCTCCATTTTCCTCTTCGTCTTCGTTCTTTAATCCTCTTTATTCCTACTCCGAGCCTAACTAATCCCATATTTGTCTTAGTACTTTCGTCACGCTTCTTTTGTCTTCCTCTCGAGTGTTCATATACGCATGATACGTGACACTTTCAATACAATTTTTATGATATATATTTCAAGAATAAGATGACCGTCTCATAGTCATTTTAAAAGAAAGATTCAATACATAAAAACGACGTAGTACCTAACACATCAAATTAATTTATTTCAAAATGAATGACTAATGTTTCTACCCGACCGACACTCCAATAGTATATTAAGATTAGTTAAATTGATTAAACAATCTCATTAGCAATAAACTTTTATTAAAAAAATCGCCTTTCATTTTGCTAAAAATCATATTTTTAGTATATTATAATAAAAATTGATGAAATATATAGTCGAAAAGTTGATAAAATTCGTGGGTTCTATAAAATTAAACATAATATTGATTTAGATTTTTATGAACTTTTTAAACTAAACCTACCAAGGGTTTAATTAATATTTGTTCTCTATCTAGCACGGTTTTATGATCAGATAATGACCTCTCAGTCCTCAGTCATATTCATGTGACACCTTGGTCCCAACCATTTAATTTTCATGGCAACTGGCTCCCTATAAACGGATAAAAAGTCTAACGGAGCATTTTGCGTGTGCGATTAGTCTTGGTTGAAAAAACTTCAATTGAAACAAAAAATGAATAAATAATATCGTAAAGAAAATAAATACTAATATAGTCACTATCGCCCCAGTCTGGTGACCATTCATTTTCAAAAACTACGTTTTGAATAATTAAAAAGTAGGGAAAAGTTTCGAGTTTACGTGTAGAATATTTTATTGTATGAATATGTGGTTGAAAATGAGTATGAAAAATAATGTAAAATAAATTAAGGCCACCAAATAGGGGCTTTATCGAATATTGAGTTCTCACAAAAATATCGAATATTACATTTTGATCAACACATATTTGATTCCACCAAATGCCCATTCGAATCAAAAGAATTGGATTCATAATTTTATTCAAAAATCAATGGATAACATTGAACCCTAAATTTCTCGAAAATAAAAAAAAATCCTAAACACAAAACTCGTTTCTTATATGAAGAAGTAAAATTTTCATCTAATTCTGCCATAGTTAATTGTGTCAAATTGTTCGATAAGAGGATTGAGTATTGACAACTCAAAATACTCGAGTTCGGCTTTGAGTATAACGCTATTACAAGATCGGGTGGGTTTTTTAGATGATTTTTTTTTTTTCGTGTTTATTAGTATTAATTAATCTTTTACATTGACCATATTTTATGGGTTGGACAATAGTGACACACACAAGTTTTGTGGTTTACAACTTGTGAAAAAAATTTATGGAAAATGCAATGGGTACATAAGTGTACCCATAGGGGAGAAATTTTTTCCCCTATAAAATTTAAAGGGCTATGCTATGGGTACATAAGTGTACCCATAGGGGTGTCGGCGCCCCACCAGCCTGTTATGGTGGGGGAACCCAAAATTTATTTCTAGAAGACACGCTTTAAATAAACGAGTAAATAAATACATATATAATTCATTATAAAATAGAATTTTATTACTTGTACATAAAAAAAATGTATATAATTGATTATATAATATGATGTGGAGGAAAAAAATTGGATGAAAAAATTGATTGCGTTTTAAATTAGCAAATTATATTATCATGTGATATTATATAATTCATTGTATAAATCTTGATGCACATGTAGCAATAAATATATGGTGCCCCTTTTATTATGGAGCTCATTGGAAATATTATGCCCCTGTTTGACATTTTTTTTTAAATTTATTTTTCATAATCATTTCAACCACACGTTCATACAATAAAATATTATACACGTAA